ATCCCCAACTCCATCACATACTATCTCACAAAGAGAAGACATCTGCTCCTGCATGACATGAAAAAATACAATAACTGAATCATTTTAAACAAGAACAAAAACAAATCCAAGATCAAACTTCCATCTCCACTCGACAGATGGGGACTGCACACAGGTCTTTAAATGCTTATACACTGTGGAGTATCATCAATGTAGTTTGTATTACATGCAGTGACAGAAAACACTGGGATAGCATGAATCCAACAAATAACTGTGGGAAAATAGTTTCTACCAACTCTGTGTCAGGTGACTTAATTTCTACAAGGTAACAAAGAACAAGTCAAAATCAGCACAGGGATTTTTCCCATATAAAGCAGTTAAACAGGCATCTCATGTGGCTAATCCATGCATAGATCCTATAGTTTGTTTAAAACTAAAAAGAAAGTAGAAAGGCGTGGACATAACCTAAAAATCATCTTACCTGTAATTCCCCTATATTTTCTAGCTGGCATTTGGCCAGCCATAGTGCCCACTGCAGACAGAGGAGGTACAAAACATGAGGATGCAAAGCTGTGTTTCCCGCTGATTTAAGCCCTGCTCTCCACAGCACAAGCGGATCAGAAGTATCAGCGTTATTTCCTGTCACCTGTAACACTGTAAAGAAGAATGGCAGGCTGTAAAATTCACACTTGAGAATCTCTGAACTTACAAAAACTTGGATTTGTGGCATTAGTTCCTGAATCGTATCATATATGGCCATTTTTTCACATAGAGGCCTACCTCGCTCAGTGGCTTCTTTGAGGAGCAGCTCAGCTTCTGAAAATTGAGACTGAGCAGTAAAGCATACACATGTATTATACACCACTGCCAACTCCAGCTGCGAGTGATCTACATGAGGAGGAATACCTGCAGAAGAGAGACGCGTAGAAAGAAGCTGCATTGAGGTAAATTATACGGTGTCATGACTTCCTTTTTTAAATATATATTTGTCACACTTGCATGTTTCAGATCATTAAACTAATTTCAATATTAGACAAAGATAAACTGAGTAAATCAGAATTTTTTTTTATTAAACCTTCAAAAAGTTCAACCTTTCATTTCATCAGCCTACAAAATATTCTCCTGTCTTGGGGATCGAGAAGTCTTTGTGTTTGAGCAGTGGTTTTCTCCTTGAACTCTCCTATGGATGCCATTGTTGCCCAGTCTCTTTCTTATTATTGAATCATCAACTCTGACCTTAACTGACGTATGAAGTCTTCAGTTCTTTAATGTTGTTTCGGGGTATTTTCTGACCTCCTGGATGAGTCGTCGCTGCACTCTTGGAGTAATTTTGGCCTCCTGGTCACTCCTGAGAAGTTTCCCCACTGTTCCAAGTTTTTCTCCATTTGTGTATGATGGCTCTTACTGTGGTTCACTGGAATCCTAAAGCCGTAGGAAATTTCTTTGTAGCCCTTTCCGGACTGAAGGATGTCAGTGAATTTGTTTCTCGGGTGGTTCTTTGGGTCGTGGCATGATGTGTTGCTTTTTGAGAACTTTTCACTTTGTCAGACTGTTTTAATTTAAGAGATTTCTTGATTCAGCTGGTCTGGCAGTAATCAGACCTGGGTGTGGCTAGTGAACCTATTCTCAGCTTTCTGAGGTGGGTAGGTTTGGATAGCTTTTTTTAATGAATAGCTCTTAATAAATGAACTAATCATTTACATTTAAAAAATGCTTTTTGTATTTACTCAAATTATCTGTGTCTAATATTAACATTTGTGATGATTTGAAAAATAAAATGTGACAAATATATCACATAGTACCTTGGATTTTCCTCAAAAGTTTGTGAAATTCAGAGGAACACCACCTCAGGCTGGACTGCCTGTGGTCTTGGCTCACAGCACCTCCACCTGCCTCCTGCTGCTGAAACAATCAAGTGAAAGCAAAATGACACCATGATCAGGATGTACCACAGTGTTGGATAAATTTATGTCAGATACCTTCATGAGAGTATTTTTGAGAGCACTTCACATTACAAACTACCATCATGAGGGATACCCCCTACTCCTTTCTTATGTTTGGTATAAGTGGCTTTGTGTAACTTAACGCTGTTCTACATCTCCAATAATAATCCAAAACAATATCATAAAGAAGACTTCATGACTTGTTCTCCAGGTAGAGTATTTTACATAATTGTATAACACCTTAATACATACGCAAACCTCTTCTATTTCTGTATTATGTTACGGTAGGGAGGCTAATATACAATCATTGAAGAAAAAGACAGCACAGAAGGACTTTCAGTCTGTCAGGAGAAAAACTGGCTCTGTTTTACATTTTAGCACATGAATTAAACTATGAGATTTTTAGTCATCTAATCTATTCGCAGTTACAGTTTTATTTGATGTTAGTATTGCTAATTAATCGCAGAGCTGTGATTAAATGTAGACCTGCTAGCCGGCCTTACCCACCTTACACTTATTTACCAACTCGTTGTTCTCCTGACTCCACTTCTCGAGTAAAGAGGGCGGCTGATACATTTTAACCACACATCACATCGGTGTTTGGTGAAAAAGCTGGAGTGGTTTCGTTTGAACTTTCCCTCGTTTGTGAAAGAGACGCGAGCAACACAGGAAATAAAATGTTACAGGCTGAGTGGCAGCGGGGCTCTGCTGCCCCCTGTGGACACATGTGGGGATGACACCGGCATTCTGCTGACTGACCAGCAGGTGGTGCTGTAACGGAGTCAAGTTTAGATGCTTTCTAGAAAGTTCAATCTCTGGGTCTGGCAGAGCCATGATCAAGCTGTGAGCTACTTCTCTATGGTCAGTAAATTTCCACAGTTACAAAGCTATTTTTTATTATCTGCATGACTGCTGTGTAGTTCTGAAAAAAAAAGCATCAGCCTCAGTTACATGCATAAACATGCATGCACACATACTCAAACACACAGAAGTCTAATGTAAGGAAACACTATCTAAAACCTTAATTGAATTACAGTTGATTCATCCGTTAGACTTCGGACTACCATTTTTCTGGATGTCATTCCCAAGGTGACTCCCTGTTTTGTCCCCCAGTTCCAGTCACACCCTGTCATCCCTCCTTCAGTGCATCCACTTGTTCCCTGACTACTGTGTTCTTCGTTGTCTGTCTTCCAACACATCCTTGCAGCTCTTCTGTTCTCTGATAGTCTCAAATCACTGAAATGTCTAAATATACCCCTCTGAAACAAGGGAAACTCCACAGCCTAAACTCAGTGCACCTGCAAATGCAAGATATCATTCCTCTGGGACACGTTTCACTTTTTTCTGACGTTTTCCTCTGCATCGATTCTGCTATTTTCCATCTCTGTATCTGTCTCACTCTGCTGCTGTCTGTCCATCCATCGCTTCAAGGACAAGGCCGCTACATGGCAACATCCTTTGTGCTCTTCTATCAAAAGCCTTTGCAGTGGCAGTCATCAAGCTTTCAGCTATTTTGAAAAATGTGACTGATTAATTCACCTATGACAGCACAGGAGAGAGGATTATGTTAATTCTGAGAAGCAAAAGCAGGAGACAGACTGCAGGTGACCTGTTATTTGGAGGTCATATTCCAAGCAATATATCTTAGTTTGGCTGTTACAAGATTTTTGGTTTCAAGTAACAGATACTCGTGCTTTCAGGCCAGACTGTTTTGAGTTACTGCAATAACTGCTGATAAACCTCAGATCTGGCCTGCTGCTTATATTTCATGTGCACTTACATTTTGACATGCGCTACAGAAAGTGCCTTTCACAGCAGAATCCTGTCATCTCTGTTGCATTATCCTCATCTATAAAACATGCAGCCAGTGGATGGAGGGGCTGTGACGCATGTAATTCCTATGCTGGAGAACCCCCACCCCCACCACCCCACCCCAAACGTGTGAGACGTGATGCAAAGCACACAGAGACTTTTGCGTGTTTCATTACAAATGTAGCACATCTGCTATAGAGCACTTAAGTGTCACACATCTATGGGTGTCACTGAGCTGATGACATTAATGTTACAATAACAAAGAATGGCTGAAAACGAGAAATCGCTGCTGTCTGCTAAATGGTGGATTCTTCCAAATATTTGCTCATATTAAAGGCGAGGCCTACAGTTTCCCTTTAAGGTAGAATAAACTCACTCACCCTGAGTGATCAATAGGTGCTGTATGTGCTCTTCAGAACTGCTCCTCTTCTCAGAGCAGACATCTCTTTAGATCAGCAGAGACAGCTGTTTGGGGTTTCTGTGAATGCTGTATCAGTGTAACTCATGCTGCTGTTTTTGGTTTCTGTGTCATTTGTGTGCATCACACACTCAACCTGCAATCAGATTCTGCACATGTTAAAATTGCTCTCTCAAAAAGAAGCAGAAACTAAGTGATGGGAAGCTGCTTTCTGAAAAGGGGAAAGAAGGAAATACTCTTTGTGTGTGTGCCTGTACTAAAAGAAGGAGTCTGTCAATGGCCCAGCAGTTGAGTTGAGTCCCAGGGGGTATGGCTGTGGATCTGCAAACTCACACTGCAGCAGTGAAGCTACAGAGAGCATCAGCAGAACACAGTGGACACCCACACAATCAGTCACAGATGGAAATGAGCAAATTTGCTAAAATCATTTACAGTTTGTTACATTTTAAAGTGGTATTTATTATTAAGATGAGTTGTCCCTATTAAAGAAACATATTAGAAAGAAGGTCCACCAGGACTTTAGCCACATGTATGCCCACAGTATTCCCATGTGTTTTTAAATATATATATTTTTAAAACTGCGTAAAGAAACCCAGAAGCAGGCATTTGTGAATATGATTAAAATTATTTATATTACAATCTTGTTTTGAAACATCGCCTAGATATTTCCAGGTGCAGTTTTGGATGCTTAAAAAACATATCGCATGTTATAGTCCCAATATTTAGGATTGTTCCGTCAGTAAAGTATCCCCTCATCAACACCTCTAATACCTTCAAAATACATACTTATCATCAGGATCCTACACTAACGGGAGCGAGTATCGTCTTGCCATTCCTGCGCAGCCGGTAGTTTTCTGAGGAAAAGGTATCTCTTTAAAAACGAGCGTGTCTTGGTGCTGACTACTGTCTTTTCCCTCCCTCCTATAAAAGCTGATCGCTCTCCCTCCTACTGCAGTCAGTTCTCACCGGCCCAGCCAACATGAGTTTCACGGTAGAGCATCACTTCATGGGCCCGAGCTCGTACCGCAAGGCTCGGCCCGCCTCCGTGTCCTCCAGCGGCTTTCACTCCCAGCGCCGTCGCCTCACCTACAGCCAGCCATCCTCAATCGACAGCTTGGAGACCTTTAACGGCGACATGACTCGGAAGAGCGAGAAAGAGATCCTGCAAGCTCTGAACGACCGGTTTGCCGGCTACATCGACAAGGTGCGCAACCTGGAGATGCACAACCGCAACCTGGAGGCGGAAGCGGCGGCGCTGCGGCAGAACCAAGCCGGGCGCGCCTCGGTCGGGGAGCACTACGAGAGGGAACTGGGTGACCTCAGGGGTCTCCTGCAGCAGCTGACCGGAGAGAAGGCCCGCGCGGCTGTGGAGCACGAGCACTTGGAAGAGGACATCCAGCACCTGCGGGTCAGGCTGGAGGATGAAGCGCGGAACCGGGAAGAGTTGGAGGCTGCCGCTCGCGCTATGAAAAAGTATGTCGAGGAGTGCCGGCTGGTACGCCTGGAGCTAGACAAGAAGCTCCGTGCGCTGGACGAGGAGGCCGCTTTTCTTAAGAAGAACCACGAGGAAGAAGTGGCGGAGCTCTTGGAGCAGATTCAGAGCGCGCAGGTGAGCTTCGACATGCGGGACACCCTGAAGGCGGACGTCACCACCGCACTGCGCGAGATCCGCTCGCAGCTGGACAGTCACGCATCCAAGACCTCAGTGCACGCCGAGGAGTGGTTCAAAGGTGAGTCCGATCAAAAAAGAGGAGGAAAGTTTATTGAAACGATCAAAAGTCTCCGTGCGTAAAGTCACGTTTGTCCGCTGTCCGTGGTGCTGAAGCGTGCCTCATGGCTCCACATCGGGATTTATTTGAGGCGTCTCCGACTGTTACGTTGGAATGTTGGTTGATAACATTTATTAATCTATCACATCGAAAACTTTAGAGGTTAAATTACAAGTGACGAATTACGCGAAAGAAGCAAGGTAACCAGTTTGGAAATGCGCAAATAAATACATAAAATAATAATAATCACTTAAATAATATCAATAATTTGCCTTTTATCTTAGTTGGTGCCCTTTTCTATGACTGCGCAGTTGCGGCATAGTGACCTTTTAAAAGAATATTTAAAAAAAATTAAAGGCCAGCCCTGCAGAGGTGAGGTGGCACACAGCGAAGAGACTACGATTAATTTGCACTCTTGCCGACTAGCAGTGGGTGTTCACTGCCTGTTTCTCTTTTTGCTGTGCTGATGGATCTGACCCTGGACTTCCACGAGTAGAAAAGTACCTTTCAAGGTCGCGGCGGGCTGATAATGTTTCATCAGTCGGTCGTGCTTTTTACAGCCATCTTCTCCTGGCTGATGTGATTAATAAAAGCACCTGGACGTAGATCTGATGCATAGAATTACTAGCAAAGCAATAAGTGAGACATGATCTTACAGCCACTGTGAGCAGCACTTAGACACAGCCCTTCTGACTTTTATGGTGCTACATAAACACACTGCTGACAACTTTGAAGGCCCAGAAGGGTTTCCTGCGCATTGTAGTTTTGGGTATGTCAAAGGACATATTGGTCTATACCCAATCCCTCTCAGTAGGTGTACATTTTGACCTGGTACAGCTAGTAAAAGGTACAAACAAATTGACCTTCTTTGAGTCCAGCTGACTGCAGCAGTGGTTTATTCATGCTTGGATGCAGGAGGGAGCTGAGTCAGACTATTGACTGGCAGCTGGACAGTGTCAAGGTTACAGAGGATCTTTGTAGTAACTGTCTGTTCTCTAAAGCAGGAATGGTTAAATATTTTCAGTTAAAAAAAAGGCCTACGTCTTTAGACTCAAAATGTTCCCCTTTCTTTTAAAAGTATGCATATATGTCATGTTTCAGGCGATTATCTTAATTAAAAGTGATTTCTAAACATGTCATGTACTTTTTAAAATTCGTTTTTTTCCACAGTGCGCATGGAGCATCTGTCCGAGGCTGCTCGGTCTAACCAGGATGCAATCCGTGGAACCCAGGAAGAGATTGCAGAATACCGCCGCCAGCTCCAGAGCCGCACCATTGAGCTGGAGACTCTTCGAGGAACCAAGGAGTCACTGGAGAGGCAGCGTATAGAGAGTGAAGACAGACACCAAGACGACCTCAACTCACTACAGGCAAGGCATCAGCACAGACATGCAGAAAAAGCAGAAATGCACCAATACTGCAAATCTCTTTTCAGACACTTGATGAATGATATGTGACCAGAGAGGATGTTTACGTTTGTTTTGCAGGAAACCATCAATCAGCTCGACAACGAGTTAAAAACTACAAAATGGGAGATGGCTAGCCAGCTAAAAGATTACCAGGAGCTTCTGAATGTGAAGATGGCTCTGGATATCGAAATTGCTGCTTACAGGTTAGTTGGGATCTAAAAAATGTAACTTTAAATTGGTTTCTTTATGCTAAAAGTGATTAACACTTTCATTCTCTGTGTTCTTGTCTTCCAAACAGGAAACTACTGGAGGGAGAGGAGAATCGCTTTGTGTCAGGTGGAGGCCCATACTCCTACCTGGAAAGCAGAATCTCTGCTCACTTGAAAGTAAAAGGAGAAGAGATCTCTGATACAGTCATTGTAGAGGAACAGACAGATGAAACACAGGTGACGGAGGTGACAGAGGAAGCAGATGAAGATGAGGAGGAAAAGAAAGAAGAAGATGAAGAAGAAGCAGAGGAAGGAGAGGGTGAAGAAACCAAAGAAGAAGAGGGTGAAGAAGAAGGTGAGGAAAAAGGAGATGAGAAGCAGGAAGGAGAGGGAGAGGAAGAAAAAGAGGAGGAAAAGGAAGAAGAGGGAGAGGAAGAGGAGAAAGGAGAGGAAGAAAAGGCAGGTGAAGAAGAAGAAAAGTCCAAATCTCCAGAAAAAGCTGCTTCCCCTCCTTCAAAATCTCCTCAATCTAAATCTCCTACTGTCAAATCACCAGAATCTAAATCGCCACAAAAATCACCAGAAGCCAAATCACCAGCAGCCAAATCCCCAATGCCCAAATCACCTGCCAAGTCCCCTGCAGCCAAGTCTCCTGCAGGAGATGAGTCAAAGTCACCCGTGTCCAAATCCCCACCCAGCAAGTCTCCTGAGTCCAAATCTCCTCCTCCCAAGAGCCCTGAACCAAAGTCTCCAGAGAAGGAGAAGGCCAAACCATTTTCTGCCAAAGACACCCCTAAAAAGGAGGAAAAAGAGGAGAAAAAAGAGAAGCCTCAGCCTGTCAAAGAGGAAAAGAAGGAGAAAGAGCAGCCTGTGAAGGAGGAGAAGAAGCAGGAACCCAAAGAGAAAGAACCAGAGAAGGTGGACAAACCTGAAACAAAGAAAGAAAGCAAAGAAGAGGAAACACCAAAAAAGGAAGAGGCTTCAAAACCTGTAACTCCCAGCAAGCCTGCTGAGGACAAGCCAGCCCCCAAGTCTGAGGCTAAAGAGAGTACTCCCCCTGCCAAGGAGGAGGAGAAGCCCTCTGCTCCTAAATCAGAGAAGGCCGAACCTGAGGCAAAGCCAGCTGCTAAAGCAGAGCCTGAGAAAACAGAGAGCAAGAAGGAGGAGAAGAAGCCAGAGGAGAAGAAACCAGAGGAGAAAAAAACAGAGGAGAAGAAGCCAGAAGAGAAGCCTAAAGCAGAGCCTGAGAAAAAAGATAGCAAGAAAGAGGAGAAGAAGCCAGAGGAGAAAAAGGAGGCTAGTAAAGAGGTGAAGGAAGGAGCAAAGACGGAGAAGGCTGAGAAATCTTCTGGCACTGAGTCAAAGGAAAGCAAGGAGGAGAAACCCAAGAAGTAAGACAAAAATGCTGCGTTTCAGGGCTAGAGGAGGAGATGCCAAAGATCTGTGATGGAGGGAGGTGAGGTGAGGAAAGGGCAAAAAGTGACTGAAGAGAAAGAGAAGCTGGATGTACCCAGCAGTTCAGATGGGCAATAAAATGCCCAAAGCCAAGCAGGTAACAGTATGTAAGCAATAGTGATTTCTGTAGCAAATACCCCCCCGCTCCCTACGTATGGCCATTATATGCCCCTGATGCTTCTGATGTATGACTGTAGTGAATACAGAATGCTCTTAAACTCTTTATCAGAATGTGACAACTGCCCTTAATCAATATCAAGTGCATTTAAACAGGATTCCCGCTGATGGGGGCAGGAGGACCCTGCTGCACCTACGCAAGCCTTCAAGGGTAGAGATGTCAAACCAATGTCTAGCTAAAGATTGTCACAGATATTGAATATGAAAACTTATATTTAGGGAAACACAAATGTTATATTTACGAATGAATAAATAAGGAAGACTTGAATTTTGCTTGTTGTGCACCTTAATGCAGCTTCTCCTTACAGGTGAACTGGAGTGTCTCACTCTTCTAGTCTGCAGTGTTAGGACAATGATGACTGTGCTCTGTATAAACTGCTGAGAATATGCAATATGAAACACAAAAATAAAGAATGAAAAATGAAGCACACAAGGCTTGGCGGCTTTTCTTCATGTATGCAGAAATCTGCAGCTCATTAAAGTGAAGATTAATAAAGTGTCAAGAGAAATTCTACGAGGTGCGATGCCAAAAGGTAAACGCTGCGAGTTATTGCACTGCATTGCGGCTGTGGAGAGGGGGAGCTGTACCCACTCTCCAAAGCTGCTGCACCCTTCCTCATGTCCCACAGACCGCGTTCATGTATAAATCAAGAGCAGTGTCGCCGGCTCGCACAGACTCTCTCTCTCATTTCCAAGGCCTGTCTCATTACAAACAGGAGCAGAGGACGCACATTTATCTTAGGATTGTTAATTAAAAATCACCAGAATGATCAAATTGTCCTACAGGCACAGCCATAAAATTAAACAGAGCAGGCTTTTGCTTTGAAACGTATAAATAAGAAATGCAAATCCTCCTCTGTCACTTGTGGTTTGGTAATATTTTGAAATATTAAGATTTCTTTTGTTTGACAGAAATAAAATGTGTGGTTACTTTTAATAGGATTTCCTAATGAGTGCAGGTGAAAAAGACATTCATTACCATCCTACTGAAAAGCAGGTAACTGTTAGATTTGTGCCATCACCAAAAGCTTCACTTTCTTGGTGAAACACTGACATTGGACACACTTTGGCTGACATTGTGAGGCTCTCTCTCCTGGCACGACTGCACCCCCCCTGTAATCCAATTTCACTGCATCTAATAGATGGCTGTGTATTAATGAGATCAGCGACCGTGTCATTAAAAAACCAGAGTCGGAAGACGGAGATTGCTTTGACTGCTGTCACTGCCATCTGTTGTTAAACAGAAATTGACTGTTTTATTGATGATTGTGCACTCTGTAAAGTTTATTTTTTTCCAAAACATTTACATCATTGCTAAATGTGACTGCTCTCGGTGCAAACTGAACAAAAGTGAACCAATATAAGATCCATCAATTTTAACTGCTCGTCCTCTTTGGGGTCGCAGAGCCTATCCCAGCTGTCACAAGGCGGGAGAGGTACATCCTGGATAGATTGCCAGTCTCTCACAGGGCGAACAGAGATACACATTCACACCTATGGCCCATTTAGAATCACAAGTTAACCTAACGTGCATGTCTTTGGCCTGTTGGATGAAACTGGAGTACAGGGGGAACATGCACACTCTACACAGTGGCTGGGTGGTGCGTTCATAACCAGCGAGGTCACAGTGCAAACCAAGCCACCATGACACACTGGAAAACACTTCAGTATTCACATTTCATCATAGACGATCACTCACAACTTCGTACTGGTTAGCGGTGACTCTTAACTCCAAATGGGGATAGGCTGGCTCAACAATATGCTTGTAAGATGCTCCCATGTCTTTGCACAGCCAACAGACACTCATCTGTTGGGCTTCATGTTTGTGCCACTGGTAAGCGTTACAGTATTCTCAATCTATTGAATCATTTTGTACCATTTACCAGTCTCATCTCAACCATTAGCATTTACTGCCCATTTTCCAATAAGTAATGCTTCCTTTCTCTTGCAATTACAGACATTATTTCCATGCATCTGTGCAGCATTGAATTCCTAGATTTGATTACCTGCTGCTGGATCTTTGCTGCAACACACAAGAGCAAAGGAGAGATTCTTCTATAAAGCTAAAGCTAGCTAATCATTAAATGACCGTTTTCCTTGACTTTAGCATCAAGTCAGAAATTGAGGATCAGTATCCTACATGAAAACCTGTTGCTCTTTACTAAAACTATGATGATAAATGAGAAGTCAAAGGCTAACAGCAGACAATAGACCAAATATTTTATTCAATGCGAGAGATCCTCTGTGGAAATGACTCAGCTATATCCAGCACTGAACCACAATGGCATAATAATCAGCAAGCTCAGACGACACCTATAAATAGAGCAGCACTCAGAGAGGTGAGGGTGGAGAGGAAGGAAAGGGGATAAAACAGAAACATTTTGTGTGCACAACAAAGTCTGTACGCAGCGAAGGAAGACAAAAAAAGACAAACTCATTCCAGAAAATAGGATGTTCTTTTATTTTCAAACTGGTATGAAGTGTTTAAAAAGGATACTTGTGTGTCAAAGAGTCACAAAGGTAATCTTGAGGGAGTTAAGAGTGATAACTACAGAAGGAGAATTATATACATACGCGCGCACACACACACACAATTATGTGCACACAAATTTTAGCGATGACTGAAGAAACCTTGAGGATGGTTATACTTGAACGGCTTCAGACGATTAGGACCCCTGAATTGAAAGAGACAAACCGGTGGTCAGAGATAAAATCTTTCACCAAATGTATCAAAAAGTTTCCCACTTCTTTCTCTAACTGTACCTGACAGTGCGTAGGCACATCTTCTCACGGGGGAACTCTCGCGGTCCTTCCACGCTGTCGTCTTGTCCTTCTGTCTCCAAATAAACATCCAGGCAGACGCACAGTCGTGCAAACTGATTGGTCAGGAGCTGGTGCCCAGGACGTGGTCCTTGTAGTTCGTTTTTGAACACGTTAACTTCGCTCTCCATGGCCTTAAAAGTGAAAAAGGGGAGTCAAAAAGTGAAAAATGACTTGTATTTATAAACAATCACATTGAGAGGTTTTGAAATGTTCATACTCGGAGGTTGTCGTCGGTGCGTCCGCTGCGCTCTCCCTTCCAGCTCAGAGAGAGGGAGAAGACAGGAGATATCTCTGGGTATCTGGGACTCAGCACCACTGCAGCATTAAGACGAGCTGAAAGGGACACAGATGAGTTTGCGTATAGAATCACATTCAAAGCAAACAAAAAAAACATCAGCAATATTCAGTTATGCTGTCAGCGACAGGATTTACCTGTGCCTCTTTCAACCACTCCCATAAAGTACAGATCAGTCTCCTTTGCCAGCCCAGCTTCAGTCACATGACGTGTATATGGAAATTCCTGCAAAAGAAAGGAAATATCAAAATCAGTCACACTTCTAACTAATGCTTTCTTTACATTTGAGTACAATCGTTTGACAATTTGCTTTCACTTACCAAGTACTCCTGGTAAGTGATTGTGGTCCAACGTGCCAAACGGGAAAGGATCTTGGCAGGAAAAAGGTGCTGACACTCGCTGGAGATGGGGATGATGCTGTGTTCTGATGACGGGAACACAAACAAACTTAACAATCTCTTCATTAGGATGATTCAGTGTGCAAGGTTGTAATCAAATAACATACCTAAAGAGGCAAACTGTCTGTGCAAAGCCAAGCGGGACTGGACTCGTCCCCTCAGCAGCTTCATGGTGTTCTCCATGTGGCTCGCACTCAGTGAACTACCCACGCGCACACCCTAAAAAAAAAAAAAATTAGCAAAAGTTAACATTACACAGTTGTAACACATGCTGTATACTTGAGGTTAGCACACACGCACCTCCGAAGCGTCACTAGGAAAATGAAGTCCTCCGAGATTCTGAACCCACATGTAGGGATGGCCCAGCTCTTCCACATAATCGCCAAAGGAAATGATCCTAAAAATAACTTATAGGTTAATTCAGCCAGCTGTAATCCAGTACACACCACATCAACCATGAACATTACTTCCTTACCCGACTTTATCAAACTGGTAGCGATTAGCTGGATTGGGTGTTTCTCGTCCCTGGTCGCTGGTGTAGAGACAGCTGAGGAGAGTGTCTGACTTCAGGAGGTCCCTGGGGAAAAAAAAAGTCATTGTTAGGTTTTTTTATAAGGCTGTCATGGTCAGAGAGAGAGCCAAATCCTTACGTTTACACACATACCCTGCGCTGATGGCCGTGTTGAGATCGGTGGAGGTGGACACTTTGGTCTTGACAGTGATAATGTTCAGATTCATCAGGTAGTAGAAGTAAAGATGGAGTACACTGCCATCTGTAGACACAAGGAAGACAACACATGGTGTTACACTAATGGATTGCTATCTTAATCTTATATTCTCTCTACTCAATCTTTTCATTAATCCTGCCAGTGATAGCTCCTCTGGGTTTATATTACACTGCAGCGCATTACAGAGCAATAACAGGCCTTGGTCATAGCAGCAGCTAATGGCACCTATGGGATACCCACTACACCGATGGTCATAATTCTCGCTGCACTCCCTGCAGTCACGGTGAACTCAGTGACACATTGTCACTCACTCACACCTACACCGCTCACTTTTTGCTTTTACTGCACTAGACCGAATGCTGCAGCTGGCAGCAGTGAGGATAACTGAGGAAAGGAGGGGCTACAGAAATAAAAGCAGAAGTCAGACAAAGAGCGGTGATGAGAAAAACTGCTTACAAGATGTTGTAGGTGCTGCAGAACTACAAGGCTGCAAGCATCTTTCTCACCTCCATCCCTCCGCCTCCCCCTCACTTCCTCCCTCCACCCCCCCTTAGGTAGAGTTACGCCTGCAATGCAGATCTCCCTATAATCTGTCACTGTATTCCATATATCGCCAGCAGAGGGAACACAAGGGTCAAGTGCTGTCATGTCACAGCCACAGTTGCTTTGTTTCACATGCCATCTGATAGGTGTACAGTTGCACAGCACCATATATATATGGTCACGTTACAAGGGTTGGAGCACAAAGGGGCTGCAAATATTTGGGTTGAAGGATGCTGTGTGAATACAGAGAATGATTTTGCCAACAAGGACATGAAGCACAGAGAAAGAGTTACCTTTACACTTCAAGTCTATGCCTAGGGACAGAGGGTGCCTCTTCAGCATCTCTCGTCTTTTATCATCCAGCTGGCCACCTGCAGTTGGCCTTCTTCTCTTCTGTCAAATGGACAATAAAAAGCAATTGAATAAAAAGACAAAAAAAAAATAAAAAAAAAAAATAAATAAAAGACGTAATTCCAGTGACATAGCATCTCTAAAATCTTAGCCCCCTGCAAGCACATTTAAAAAGAATACCGAAAGGAAGCCTGAAAAGCAAACAGTGCTCCAGATGAGCTCAAACATGGAGATAGAACAAAAGAAATACACACTGTATTTGCAATCAAATACAAACCTAAGATCCG